CTATTATTGATCCTATTTAAAAAGGGGAAGAAAAAATAATAATTATATATTAAAGTGTCGGGGTCAGACAATGTAAAATTATTTTGTATAAGAGAATATAAATTTTACATTATTTTGTATAATAGAATATAAAATTTGTATATTTAATATTGAAAGCACCTAAAATATTATATTAGTATATGTAAAAGTATTCAAAATTTTCTATATTATTTTTAAAAGATATAAATCACCTACAACTTTTCTAAACAATTTTAAAAAGAAAACATATCTAAAAACATTTGAATTTAACATTATGTAAAAAAAAAAAATTCTAGACTATTTTGCAAAAAAAGCATGTCTACAAATAATTAAATTTAACATCAATTATGTATATGTGTATATGTGTATATATAAAAAACAAATGTCTAAACAATTTGTTTAAAGTAACTAAAATATTATAAGGCTAATTTAATAAACACCTTCGGTCAAAAAAAAGGAAGAAAAAAACAAATATATACACATTAAATCAAATATAATGTTTCGAAATTTTTGCCTAAAAAGTTTAAATGAAAAGGGAAACAAATCAACACAATATCTATTATTTTGTTAACCTAAAAAATAGGAAAAAGGGAACCATCACAAAAACCATGTATTATTTTGTTAGGAAAAAGAAAAACATCACAAAAACCAGCGCCGATTTTTTTTGTTAACACTATATCACTATATCACTATTTATTTAATGATTTTAGAGGGAAAATAATGATTTTAGCAGGTATTTAATATGTATTATTTTGTTAGGAAAAAGAAAAACATCGCCGATTTTTTTTGTTAACACTATATCACTATATCACTATTTATTTAATGATTTTAGAGAGAAAATAATGATTTTAGCAGGTATTTAATGATTTTAGAGGAAAAATAATGATTTTGGCGGGTATTTAATGATTTTGGAGAGAAAATAATAATTTTGGCGGGAAATCATAAAAAGGTTATTCTTTTAATATAATGATAGATGTGCTTTCATAGTTACAAAGTATCACAAAAATCAAAGTACATTCATTAGTTAAGAACTAGAAGACTTACAACATGTAGATAACAAATGTTGATGCTATAATAAATAAATGGGTTCAGATTCAAATTAGATGCCAAATTTATCTATAACTAGTACGTAGCCCGTGCGATTCACGGGTCTGAGTTTCCAGATGGCTTGTCCATTAGGTTTAAAAAAATAGAGTTAGATCATCTATTTTACACCTCTTTTGATCATCGTTATTTTTTTAGTCATAACGTTAAACCTCAACCTATTAGCTCTAGTATGTAAATTAATTATTAGCTCTAGTATGTAAATTAGTAAATATATTATCTCGCTAAAACATTGATACTAAATTTATTATTTTATCATAATAGTTTTACATATTCTGGTATAATACTTAATTTATTATTTTATCATAAAATTTATTGTCATTATAATTTTTTTAATAAATATTTTAGAAAATAAAAAAAATATTTATCTATTTACAAACTCATTATCTCGAGTTTGAAACCATAAATTTTATTCTTCAAATAAAATTTGGAAAATTTTAACTTAGTAATCAGAGATGAATTTGAATTGATTTGAAATTCCTAATCCATCTCAAATTTATTTTGTGAAAAAAGGCTATCCAAAATGTTTATACCAAGAGTCCTAATATTTTTAAATTGTAAAAAGTCTTCATGCAAAATATCTCCACTGACTTTGGCGAACCACAATATCGTATTTGATTCAACAAATTAATTAATTTTAGGAAGTGAATAGTTGTGTATGTATATGGGAGAAATTTAAAAATTCAAATTCCAAAACCAATACCACAATATCGTATTTGATTCAACAAATTAATTAATTTTAGAAAGTGAATAGTTGCGTATGTATATGGAAGAAATTTGAAAATTCAAATTCCAAAACCAATATCGTATGTAATGGATTTATACCAAGTTCTCAATTTTTTCAAAATTGTATAAATCCTTCATGCAATGAATCTTCACTAATTTGGGGACCAACAAATTACTTAAATTTAGGAAGGCATAAATTGTGTACGTGGATATTGTTTCTGTTGTATGTTTAAGAAAAATAAATTCAAAAATGGTATTCATATGGGATTGTATTATGAGGGATTTAACAAAAATACAAATTTTTAGGATACGATTTGATTTGAATTTTTCAAATTAAATTCCACTTTTTTAGGCCGCCTAAGTCAAATGATGATAAGGATTAATGTTAAAAAAAAAAAAGAAAAAATAATAAGTAATTAATGTTGTCCTAAAATTTTTAGTTACTATTTATGGTAAATAGTAATTTTATTATATATATATAGATACGTTGACATTCACCATGGAGTAAGGTGTAGGAGTAAGTTGGAAATTTATTATTCATTATTTTTTTTAAAATATTGCAAATTGGGTTTTCAAGAGCTCAATTTTATTTTTTTTCTTCTTAAGGTGGCAAGGCTATAGTTTTTTTTTTAATTTTAATGTTAAACGTGTCGTCCTTCCTATCTATATGTCATATAATCAGCCAAATTAAACACGTAAGCTTCTAACAGTCGATTTGATGATCACACACTTTGGTTTGTAAAACTAAAATTATTTGCCTTTTATTACTAAAATTGAAAGATTGAAGTTGAAATAAAAGTTGAGATTTAGTTTACAACTTAATTAACCTAAATAAAATGCACACTAACTTCTTAAAGTACATTACTTTTGATGGTTTGTTTCATTTTGTAAAATGAATACACATATTTGACTATATTTAAACACAACCAAATTAAAAATAAAACGCACTAAATAAACCAAATTAATCCAAAGGTGGCACGCAAAAGCAATTTCCAATATAGGAAATTCTATTTGTTGCACTCTTTCTACTACTTTTCTTTAATTATTATGATTACAAGACAATAATCATCATATGCCCAAATGAGACTATAATAATAACACACCGACTTAATTTGTCTCCTTTTAACTTAATAATAATCATGTCATTTGCACTTTGCTAAACCATATCACATAAAAATATTTCCTTGCGGACAAAATGTGACACTTGACATTATACATGGAAATAAATTTTAATAATATTGCCCAGTAAGATAATTTTAATCTAACTAGACCATGGATTTAAAGTTGGCCACTATATTTATTTTATTGAAATTGTAGTTGAATACAAAATAATTTGTAAAGCCTGGACAAAATTTATTTCAATAAAAAATATAATAGAATTTTTTAGAAAAGTGCATTATTCTTTTCGTCTTACTTCTTTTTCTACGATTTTATTGGCATTTATTAAAAGTGAAAGACAATTATTATTGTTATATATAATTTACAATAAAAATTCTATTTTATACTCATATAATTTTAGATATTAATCTATTATTTAAATTATTATTTTTATATCTTAATGATATTTATATATTCCTTTAAAAATATAAATATCTGTTTTTTTTTTTAAATTGACTTATTTTATTCCATCCTTTGAATTAGATAACTTTATCCATCTTTTTTATTTAGTTCAGGAGAAGAAGCGGTTTGTTGGGCCTTTAAACCCAATTTTGTATTATAAAACTTATGTTACATAAGGACCCAAAATTGATAGAACCAATAACGGCTTTTGCCCTGGCCCAATAAATCTTTGTTATCACTATAACTTTACACAAATTATTGTGTGTCTGTCTAACCCTCAAAGCAATTTTTATGTAGTATTCTTAACTGTTCAGTGGATCGACTTATCATATTTTTTAATTAAAAAAAATATTTATACTAAAATGACATTTCAATTTAAAAAAATATATATTTATTAAAAGAAATATGGCTAGCTAACTATTAGCCAGTGTTATTATACAAATCAACGCATAATCTACATTGGCATAACCTCAAGGGATTAAAAAAAAGAAAAAAAATTACTCTACTCTATACAAATAACTACATCCTAAATTCCTATACGTACATAGATATTGAACACTTCAACATTCTCCATTCATTTGACCTCTGTAAGAAGATGACAAAGGTTTGGCCTTCAAATTAGGCGATTTAATTGATGGTTTAGCCAGAGACTGTTTTACATCCTGAATAAAATTTGAATTATTCAGTTAAAAAGAAAAACAAGTATATGTAAAATTATAACCGTCAAAAAGCATATTTTTTCAATAAATATGCATACTTCTAAAACTGAAATGACACTCCAAAAAAATATATAAACAAAAATACGATATTTCATAGCAAAATCCCGTTACGGAACCATTCCGTTGGGATTTGTAACCGTTAGATCAGTTATCATTGACGGTTACTTAATGATCTAACGGTTACAATTCCAACGGAATGATTCCGTAACGGGATTGTAGCATTTTCCTATATATATATATATATATATGACGGTTCAACTCACCGACTTATACAAGAATTTGTGAAAAGAAAAATACCTTCGATTTTGCTCTAACTGGTCCATTTTCTGCCACTTTGACATTTGATTTTACTTCCAGTTTCCTTAAATCAGATAAAAGTATATAATTGGTTGGTCCAAAAATAATCATATCAATAGATACAAACATTTCTAGCAACACTTGGAGGGCAAAGGCATTGATTTGTTTAACTCTAATTTCCATTTGCAAATAAAACTAACTTCTGATTCTATAGGCCACAACTCACCTAGAGACCAAAGGCTTTGATTTATTTCCTAATGGAGTTTCTTGGGTTGCCCTGCTTTCAGCTTCTTTTTTTGATCTGAAATAATCAATATAAGTTTACAGTGTTACATGAAAATAAGTTGCTCGTGAGCTCGACTTAATTCGAATTGTTAATTTAGGTAACGAGCTGAGCTCGTCTCATTTAAGGCTCCTTAAGGCTCGAAAATAGGAGTTTTTATATCACTTTCTATAGTTCGGCCCGTTAATATTGATAAATGAGCTATGTGCTTATTTACTTAACGAGCTCCCACAAAGTTTTTTCATAATGTAGAACAAAGCACTGTTTATATTGATTTCCAAGAATTTATTGAACTACCTTTTGTTCTCCTTGCTAACAATGAGAGAATTGGATGTTTTCATCTCGGCTTTAGCAGATGTCGCCTGTATTGATAAATCGGTTAAAATCGAAACTCGTTGTATCGAAAAAACAATGTATATAGAGTTGAAGTACTGAAATGCAATAAACAAGTTCAATAGCACCAATATAAACCTGCTTTCGCGTATTAGAGTTTTTGTCGGGCGACGAAGGTCCATTTGTGCGATCTTTCAAAGTCTTGACCGTTCGTTTAGCAAAGTCCTTCTCTCCCATTTTGTCCATTTTCGAAGACTTTCTATTAATAGATTGAATAGGCGAAGATTTTCTTGTTGGAGTTTCCTAAATCAATATAAAATGATCGACTATTGATTATGGCATGAGCCGAAAGGTACTATCTATATATCAATGGTGTTCGGAAAATGCGCACGTATATAATTCTTTCTCCGTATACTTGGAAAATCTAATAGTCGAATCACAAGTTCACATTATAAAGCAAAATGATTTGTGGTGCTCACCTTTGGATTTTTATGACTTGCGTTCGACTCAATTAGCGGCCTTTGGACCTTCTTTTCAGATGGTTTGGCTAAAGTTTTATATGCTAATGTTGGCTTTGGTTGTTTAGTAGCGGAAACCGACACTGCATGTGGCCCGACTTTGTTCTTCGTCACGGTCGAATTTCGTTCCTTTTTTAGAGTTACCTAAACAATATATGGAAAATGTTAAATTACATTTACCGGATCGAGTGAAAATACAAAACCGATCGATGGAGTATTCACCTTTTGGCTTGTTTTTTCACTTTTGAGAAGATTACTCATTTTTCGCAAGGGCGACAAGTTCGCCTTGTTTTTCAACGGGCTTTCGGCGGATAAGGTTGTCGATTTTGCCTTTGCATGAACATGAGTCGACAACGGCGTAGAACATGGTACAACTTTCTTCTCGGTCGAACCTAAATTTATTTCTCTTATAGTTGGATTTGCCTAAACACAAATGCAACGATTAACCATATTTATATAGCTGGAAGCGAAAGATATAACAATGTCGATAGCATGTCTTCCAAAGATGAAACTTCGAGTGAGTACTTTACGAGAAAGTTTTAGGATTTTGACGATGTCCGAAAAGTGGTACCTTATTTTTTAATGGTTTCGAGTCGGACAAGGTTGCTAAAGTTGTCGTCTTAGGTCTAGGAGTGGATGCAGGCAATGCATGTGGCACAACTTTCTTCTCGGCCATGCTCGGGTTTCTTCCCTTTGCTGTTGGAGGTACCTAAACAATAGCAACAATACACGAAAATTGCTATATGTAACAAACAATGCAACATGAAAATAGAAGGTTTACTATTACTAAATTTAGGAAAAACAATAGCTTTTCGTGTCTTCAAATGCTAAATCAACATAACTTATCAATAACAATCTAAATTTCGACATCGTTTTTCGCTTATGCTTCTCTATAAACATTGGATTTTATGGTCGAGACAAAAACACAAGTCGTAATATACATTACCTTTTGATCCATTCCACCTATTCCACGAGCATTCGACTTAGAATTCCTTATTGTAGATCTCTCGACGCCATTTTTCCTTTCCGAAAGTTTCTCTACCGTCTTCTTAGAGCCCTTATGAAGAATCTCTACCACTAATCTACCACTCAATCTATTAGGATTTCCCGTTTTCGGCAGAGTCGATCTCTTGACGCCATTTTTCCTTTCCGAAAGTTTCTCAACCGTCTTTTTAGAGCCCTTGTGAAGAATCTCTTCCCCTAATCTACCACTCAATCTATTAGGATTCCTCGTTTTCGGCAGAGTCGATCTCTCGACGCTATTTTTTCTTTTCGAAAGTTTCTCAACCGTCTTTGTAGAGCCCTTGTAAAGAATCTCTTCCCCTAATCTACCACTCAATCTCGTAGGATTCCCCGTTTTCGGTAGAGTCGTTCTCTCGACGCCATTTTTCCTTTTCGAAAGTTTCTCAACCGTCATCTTAGAGCCCTTATGAAGAATCTCTTCCCCTAATCTACCACTCAATTTTTTTGAATTCCCCATTATTGGCAGAGTCGATCTCTCGACGCCATTTTTCCTTTCTGAAAGTTTCTCAACCGTCATCTTAGAATCCTTATGAAGAATCTCTTCCCCTAATCTACCCCTCAATTTTTCAGAATTCCCCATTATTGGCAGAGTCGATATCTGGACGCCATTTTTCCTTTCCGAAAGTTTCTCCACCGTCTTCTTAGAGTCCTTATGAAGAATCTCTTCCCCTAATCTACCAGTCAATCTTTTAGAATTTCCCGTTTCTGGTAGAGTCGATCTCTCGACGCCACTTTTTCTTTTCGAAAGTTTCTCCACCGTCTTCTTACAGCCCTTATGAAGAATCTCTTCCCCTAATCTACTACTCAATCTTTTAGAATTCTCAGTTTTCGACAAAGTCGATCTCTCGACGCCATTTTTTCTTTCCGAAAGTGTATCCACCTTCTTCTTAGAGCCCTTACGAAGAATCTCATCCCCTAATCGACCACTCAATCTTTTATAGTTTGTTTTGCTATCACCAACCCCGCAAGACCCCGAACTACGACCTTTCACCTCATTAATAACTTTATCAAACAATCTATCACCGTTAAATAAGCCGAAATCCACACCAATATACCCCGATGATTTTCGGACGTGATTGCATGTTCTTGGCTCGTCTACGCTTAAATTAGCATTCGCCGATTTTTCCTTCTCGAGCTCTTTAGCTAGCTCAAGCTCCTTGGCTTTTCTAGCCGCGGCAATCTTTTTGTAGTATTCGTCGAAATAGGCCGTCTTTTGGGCAACCGAGCCGGGTTTCGACAAGCGTACGATTTCGTCTAAATGCTTGTTTGTTGAGAAAAGCGACCATTTTTCCCAGGTGTGTGTGTCATTCTCAAATCTGCCAAATGAAATGGACACCTCCATATGTAAATTTGATTAACTTTGTGCACAAAAAGCACAAATGAAAAAAAATGGGATGAAAAGGAAGAAAACAGAATTCAAAGGGGTTTTTGAATGAATGTTTGTGTAATCCCTCGAACCCCTCTGAAATTTTGTCATCAACAAGAATTGGGTCCATATAATATATGGAAAAAAATAATCAGATTCATCATGAAATGAATCTTCAAACCAGAGAAAGGAAAAAGAAAAAGAAGAAAACACAACATGAAGAAATTATCAAATGGCTATGATGAACAAAAGATTAATGAATGAAAGAGGTCAAAATCAAGAGTCCACCGAAGTAGATTGGACCAACAAAAAAATACCACGAGTCTTTTTCTTTTACTTCATTCTGTTTTTAGACATATTTTGTGCAACAGTTGATTATCCATATCCATATGATAAAACAGTTGGAAAGGTGATTTTACATACTTGTAATTCTTCGAGAAAGTCTTGAATATGGTTGGTGATTAATGATGAGAATAGGTGCATATTTAATTAAAATAAAATAAAAGAATAGGGAAATAATGGGATTAATTAATTATTAGATGTGGTAAACAGGTCAAAGGATTTTTAAAAAAATTCTTTGTGGCCTCTCTTTTTCTAAATGTTGAGTGCAATTTATATAAGATGTATTTTTTTTTCGAAAACTGTATTTTTAAAAGAAACCATATAAATTTGATACAAAACAAATATATAATAATTAAAGTTAATGTAATATAAAAATAATAAAATATTGATTGATAAGATTATTAGTTGGAAATATGTGAATTAATGAAGAACAATGTTTCTTTGTCGTAAAATACATAATTATAATTATTTTTTATTTTTTATTTGTTTTAGTGGGATGTGTAGAAAAAAAGTGAGATGAACTGAATAGTAACTTTTTTATTTTATTTCACTCGAATGTATAAATATTGACTACAAATCTTGATTTATAATTCTATCTTAAAAATGAAAGCTCCT